ATGTGGGCATAGAAAAAGTATATCTACGAAAGGCCAGCATGAATGAAGAGATTAGGCGGATTTATAGATTAATATATATAATAAAATAGCACAGCTTAATGTTAGTGTAAGAAATGAAGCAGATACAAAAAAACAAGCCTGGAGCTCACTAATTTTTTTAAAGATGATGACCCTCTGAATGCAAATAATCATTGAAAAGTCTGAAAAAATCATTCTCGATACCTCTTTACTCTGGTTTTTTTTAATCTTAAATTGATCATTTAAATATTAATTAGAGAAGACCTACAAGAAAGCTGTCAATGCTAATTCTTTTTTACTTGAAAGCATAAGGAAATACTGTATTTATTATGCTGGATAATGACTGAGTCAAGATTCATCATCTGGAAGTAAAGCTTCTTTTGGTTTAAGCTGGAAATGACCCCGGCGACTGTACCGACGAAAAAAGGCCTTCTTTGACGCATGAACCAGACGAATCACGTCATCCGAATCTAGTTGATTTATTAGATCAATCAGCCGAGTCCTTCCAGGCAAAGGAGAGCTAGTAATAACTGGCCCTACATTTTCATTTAGCTCTAATAATTCAGATAGAGCATGCATGTTAAGCTCCGATTGTTGGTGAGCACCAGTATCAGCTACAAATATGATAGAGGCCTTTATTATAACAATGAACAAGAGTAGTTAGATTTGGGTGATTCTCAAAGCCAAACAAAGCGTTTAGTAAAGAGCTAAACAATATATATGCAAAATTGTTAAATAAAATAGGTCTACTTACTTTCGACAAGTGGAACAGTTCTACATCAGGACCCTTAAACCAATTAAAAGCTTTGATTACCGTAAATATATCCCCATTTCGACTGTGTTCACGAGAAAGTGAAAAAAGGAAAGTTCTCATCCTGGTTGGTATGAAATTTGACATCACCTCACCGTTTCATACGTGCCCAAGTAATATTCGAACCATGGACGTGCTGTTCAGAAGGCAAGTAGGTTAATCCTTAAGCTACACGACGCTAGTCATATTTTTATACGGAAAAGTATGACTTCCAAGGCAAAACAAGCATCCAATATCTCTCATTCCTTTTTGGGTATTCGGTACTTATTGAAGACCCCAAATTTTCCAACACTCGACTCAATACGCATGGCTGTAGTAACTAATAGATTTTATTTAGAAGATATAAGGACAAAGTATTGTAGAGGTTTATAGGTTTTGATTATTATTTATTTACATTTCTTAACGACTAATGAGTCAGTTTTTTACTGTCCAGTGCTGCTATTTACAGTCTTTGGAATGAATCAGAATGATTAAAGGGACAAGGCTGAAGATCTAATCTTGAAAATAGCTAATTAATATCTGATAAAACGATCAAGTTACTTGCTTCATTTATCTATATCTAACGATCCGTTAGTCTAAAGAATTTTTTGGTTAGAAATAAGTTTTTAGTATCCTAAAGAGGTCTTGGTAAATGAAAAATCATACAAATTTCGTGTGGTTTTAAGGGGAATGATGGTCATTCTACTAACTCTGAACCTAAAGAAAAGGCTAGAATCTGCATTAAGAACATATATTCCAATAATCCAGTCTGATTGGAGTTGCAGATCAGATCGCCTCTAATCGGCCTCACTAACATTTTAAGCAAGATTAAACTGTAAATACGTAGATTCAGAGGCCAAACCTCAGGCCTTTAATTGCACAACCGAAAACCTACAATCAAGACCTTTCGAGGCAAAGCAGGCCTCTCTCATTTTACATATTTAGTGGGTTTCTCATTAGAGAAGTGCTGTTAAAACCAAGTTTCTAACTGATATAAGCACTAATTAATAAATTAATGTGAGTTGTGAAAGACATACTTTACGCTAAAATCTATGCTTACAGCACTCTATATCGATC